CAACCCTCTCCTTGCATTGGATTAGTTTACTAGGACAGCTCACAGAACTCAGGGAAACAGATGAACAGCCAGATTAAGAGATGGGTAGGGCAAGATGTGGGGGTTGCGGAGCTTCTGTGCCTTCTCTGGGTGTGCCACCCTCCCAGCACCCCCACATGTTTAACAGCCCAGAAGCTCATCAAATTTTTTTGTTCAAGAAATTATGTACAGTGTGATCTTCAACCCCCATCCCCACCTCTTCCTGGAGAGGTGGGCTGAAATTTACAACCCTGTTATCCTCTAAGTACTCATTGATGGGCGGAGGTTGGTGGGTGGGCTGAAATTTCCATCCCTCCTATCCTCTAATTACTCAGTTTTTCTGGTGAGGCTATCTAGAGGCTCTACCCTAAGTCACCTCATTAGTATAGACTCAGGTGTGATCTGAAAGGAGCCATTATAAATAACAAAAGACACTCTTGTTACTCAGGAAATTCCAAGGGTTTTAGGTTTTGTTTTGGTTCTTTTGGGCAAGAATCCAAAATAAGACCAAATACATTTCATATTATACCACAGACACATTCTTGTCCCTCAGTTTCTCAGGTGCTCACTTTCCTCCTCAACCTACTCAGATTCAGTGTTTGATTGCTCTAACCGCTCCTTGCATGTATAGCTATACAACGCTTAACTACGGGAATACGTTCTGAGAAATGCGTCGTTAGGTGATTTTGTCCTTGTGTGAACATCGTAGAGTGTACTTACAAAAACCTAGAGAGTATAGCCTACTATACACTTAGGCTACATGGTATAGCCATTATAATCTTATGGGACCACCATCCTATATGCTGTCATTGACCTATAGGTCATCAGAAATGTTGTTAGGGGTGCTTGATTTACTCCAAACCTCTTTGATCCTCATTCCTTTCACCGAACTTGTCTAGGATAACCACATCCTAGTTAAATGTAATTCCTCTTATTTCAGGTCTCTAGCATGGCTGGAGAAAATAACCATCCACACTGTCTGGTCTCATTCTAAATTCGTAACCACTCCCTCCAGTGGGTCTGTAGTTCTGTGCTGCTGTTCTATAGTAATTCCCTAGTCAGTTCAGTCTCCTATAAGTAACTATTTCAAACCTCCTTTGCCTTCTTCCTCAGTCTTACTCTCAGTTTTTGGTTTCGTATTTCACTGAGAAAATAAAAGTAGTCAAAAGGAAGTTTCCTTTCTGTGCCTGGCTTATTTTACTTAACATGATTTTCTCCAAGCTTATCCACATTGCTGCAAATGGCAGAATCTCGTTCTTTTTAATGACTGAGTAGTATTCCATTGTGTATATATACCACCTTTTCCTTTTCCTTATCCAGTCATCTGTCAGTGGACACTTAGGTTGATTCCATATCTTGGCTATTGTAAATAGAGCTGCGATGAACATGGGAGGGCAAGTATCCCTTTAACAAGATGATCTCCATTCACAAAAATACAACAAATATTTAAGTGAAAAGTTGAATACAAAAGAATGCTACAACCTCAGTTTAGTAATTAATAAATAAATAGTAAGTAAATATCAAATAATGTAGAGAATGCCTGGAAAATATGTCCTATATTAATTTTTAAAACAGCTTAATGGAGATGTAATTGACATAAAATAAACTCATCTTATTTAAAATGTTTTTTTAAAAGGTGGGAGGGAGGTTCTCCTTGCTTCCAGTGCATACCAGATCTTTCTAAGTGCATCTGTAGCAGCTGAAGAACTGTTTGTGCTTCTGTCTAAAGCCAGTCTCTAACTTGTGCAGTAGAAATCGTTCCCTCTCAGCTGCCCCAGGATATTGCTCTTACAGTCATCTCCTTCAGCAACCATTTTTTCCTTTCTACTGTGTTGTTATTGCTGTAATATCTCCCATGTTAAAAATGAAAACCTCCCTTGATTTCACATTCCTGTCCGCCTACATTCCTCTTTCTTTGTCCCCTTATAGCAAAGCAGTATTCACAAATGGTCCCCGTGTGCTGACCATAAACCACCCCAACATTTACCAAAGCTTGTTATATAGTAAGTTTGAAAAACTCGTTCTGATAAATACGTTTGGTAGATGGAGAGTGCCTTTGGAGATTTATGGGCATAGTAGCAAGTTAGGTTCTCTGAGATTTCTGTAACAAGGAACTGTTTACACTTACCCAAATTTATTAAACACAGAGCACTTCTAGTAAAAGGATCTGTGGATGTTTTGGTGCTTCTTTTTTAACACAATTTAAGAAATGTTCAACTGCTCAATTGTAATAATAGGCAAGTTTGCTTAAATATCATTTCTCTCAGCTTAATGGAGAGACGATAAAAGTCCAGAGAGGTTCCCTCCTCTCCACTCCCCCATCCCTCACTAGAATTAGTACTATGCTAGTGGGAGAGGTGATGTCTTAAGGTTCTGTAATTGACCAAGTTACCTACTTTGGGTAATTATATTTATCTAGGGGTATTGTTATTAACAAATTTGTCTTATTTACTTTTCCTGAAGGTGAAATGTTATTTTCCTAAACATGTTCTTCTAGAAAAGCAAAGCGTTTTATGAGCCAGTCTTATTTTTTTTCCGGCTGTGGTTTAACTCATTAGACTTTGGTTGTTCTCATAACTAGATAATACACATGAACTATGAATTAACCTATTCGCAATATCTAGTGCCTTTCTAATTGAAATACATTACTTCTGTGTTTTAGGTGTCTGGAGTAGATTTGCAGAATGCCTCACACAGAGAAGCAGTTGAGGCCATTAAGGATGCAGGAAACCCTGTGGTGTTCGTTGTTCAGAGCTTGTCATCCACTCCAAGAGTAAGTTTAGTTCATATTTTCAGAAAGTTTAACAATATTCTCTATACCTGTGGACCAAGATTTTGCCTCCAGCAATTGTTCCATACATTTTCATTATTATTTAGAAAAGGTATTAGCTACATAAAAATTTAGCCATTAACTTCAATTTCCCTTTTTTTCCCCCTTCAAGTTTGATCTCCAGGTCAAATTTGAGTCATTACAGTGTGTGTTGGTTTAAGTCACAGGCTGTGGAGTCAAAAAGACCTGTTTTCAATTCCCTGATTCCCTATTTACCAGCTTTGCTAACTTGGAGGCAAGTTACTAAATTCATCTGAGCCAGTTGCTTTGTACATGAAATACTCTCAACGTAAAAAGAGGTCAGGTGTGAAAACATTGTAGAGATACTTTCAAATGTTCTGTTTGTTTATTAACACATGTAAAAATATAAACATGCTGACATGTGGCATTGTATATTCTACTGTTGGAGATTCTGAATTTAAAAATAGCAATATTTAATCACAAATTTTCTTCTGTAATTAATTAGTGCTTTGGTATGGAATTGGAACTCTGATATGATGTCATTGGCAGGATGTGTATTTTATATTGCAGTGTGCAGCAGAAATGTCACCCTTAAATCCTGTAACTGGAAGCCATATTTATTTTTCTTTATTTTAAAATGGAAGACAGCTGTTCAAAACATAGGCACTTCTAGACAGTAGAAAAACTTTGCATATTTAAAAAAATTATTTGATTTTCAATAATGTAGTGCTTTCTAACCTTTTCTGTGTCAAGGAATACAGAAAATAATATTTGTATAACAAACTGCACTAATAGATGGTTGGCTGCCGCAGGCATGGAGGTACTGACCAGATATTTCCACACGTGTGTAAGCTGCCTGCACACAGGGGACAGCAACCTCCATCCTGCTCGGGCAGCTCTGCTGGGTTGCACTGCATTGCAGTATGGTGCCTTCCATTCTTAGTGCTGTGTTTACACTGTCAAGACTAATTGAATAAAGTTTTCTTATTTTCAGAGAGTGTGAAATTCAGTAAGAGTTTTTGAAATCTAGCTTTTAATTCTTATCATATTGAGAATACAGTTAAGGCTGTCACTTTTATTTCTGGAAACTCAGTTCAATAGGAAAATCGGCCAGACTATTCCTTGCCAAATGATACTTCCAAAGAACCAATTTTGAGTGAGAATGAGCCAACCAAATTATACATTTATGTGTCCAGCTGTGAATGCCTTGCCGAAAAATACTCAAAGCATTTAAAATAGGCTAAAGAGTCAACCCAAAAGCCCAGGCTTTTAATCTAGCCTGTGCTAGTGCACTGAGGTGGAAATTTGGGCTTGGATGACATGAACAATGCAATTTCTTTCAACTGTTCAAAAGAAGAAAATCTCTTCAGCAGTGTGCCTTGCTCAAGTCACTTATTCCCTGTGTACTATAACACACTGCCACATTGTGCCTTCAGTTTATCAAGCATTGGACTATCCTTTTGCAATTGGGTCATGTCTTCTGAGGTTATCAGCTCATGTGTTGTTTCTTTCTTCCTGTATTCCAGTTGTACTGCATTGATACTGTTGTTCCATAATGGTACCTACATTTTTTTGACACATGTACATTTTGCATATTAATCACATATGAATATATTTTTACTTTTACAGGAAATATGCTGTCTTCTTTTTTCTAAAAGATTTTATTGAGCATTTTGTCTTCCAAATTTTGCTAACAATATATGTACAGAAACGTATTTCTCTGCTATTTGAAACATAATGTAAGCACTGAGTGGAAACTGACATTCTGTCGCATCGCAAACCTTCCACTGTTCAGCTTCAGCTGGCTTTTCCTATGGGAGAAATTAGGCCTCATGTGGGTAGATATCCTGACTCGTCTTTAGGCCAAGAAACACATCCTTTTGAACTCTAACTTAGGTTGTTCTGTGTATTAAATATAGATACAAATATTAACTACGAGCACACCATCTGTTAACATAGGAAGCAGTGAATATATGTTAATGTATAATTACTACTGTTCTTCACTTAAACATTTCTGAGACTTTCTCGTTTATTGCAAAATTAATTTATTTATTTACACTCTATATTGAAAGTGAAAAGAATTTAATCTTAAAATTGGATTTAGAGGGAAGCAGGTTTTTTGTCTTTTGTTTTTAATTCTCTCTAGGCATGCAGTTCTTTAATTTTCTGAGCAAAGAGATTTATATTTTCTTTTAATCTTCACGTCTGTCATCAGATTTTAAGCCAAGATTATTTGTTAGCAGTTTGAAGAGATTTTTCAAAATCACTAAAACCTTTATATTTTCCTAAGATATTTTATAGTTTTGCAAAAAGAAACGAGTCAAAAAGTAATCTATTGTGTTGCCACCATTAAAAAAAATTTTTTTTTTTTTTTTTGGTGGCTGGCTAGTATGAGTATTGAACCCTGGACCTTGGTGTTTACCAATACCGTGCTCTAATCGTCTGAGCTAACTGACCAGCCCCAAGAATTAAAATTACTTTTATGGAATTGAACTGTTTTATTCATTTATAATCATTGAGCTTACTTTATATTGGAAATAGATTTGTAATTTATCCTTATGCTAACAGTGATAGTGAAGTATTGAGTTCACACAGTGTGCTAGAAAAAATACTTGCAATGGGGGTATAGTGATGAATGATGTAAATCTATCACATAAATGAGGTATCCTATGTTCTAGAAATTAACTTAGGTTACCTCTAAAACTTTACTTTGAAAAATGAGATGTTTGGGTAACAGTATTGTGACCTTCTTTTTAGTCTTCTTTATCTTTACCTCTGTATCTACACACACAAACTTGTGAATTTATATGCCCTGGTAGCAAGTTTTATTGTTTGCCTTAAATTGTACTTCTCATATCTTTACTTTTTAGATGTCACAAAATTAGTTAAGATTTTAACTGTTTTATAAAAAAATACATCAAGAAATATAATGACATTTAAACTTTTTCTTTTCCTCCCTCCACCTCTTTTTTGTGGTGGTAGGTCATTCCTAATGTACATAACAAAGTCAACAAAATTACCAATAACCAGGACCAGGACACCCAAGAAAAGAAAGTAAAGGTAACTCAAACTTCTCAAGCTTTTTAAAAGTGTTTTTGTTTTCTTTTTGCATATTTGAGCTATAATTAGTAACAGTGGTTTTTTGATGAATGTCAAAAATCTGGTTTTGTTGTGTGTATGAAATAGAGATATAAATATTAATCACTAGCACCGTGTCTAGTCACATAGGAAGCACTGAATATATGTTAATGTATCATGTTTACATGATTTATACTGGACTCCTGTGTAAAATTTTTATGCCTGGGTAATTTTTTCCACTTAATAACATAACTGAATTTCAGTGGATGCTGTTTCTGAGCTTTCTCTTTGTTCTATTTGGTTAGCTCATCTGTGTAGAAGTACTGTATTTATAGTATGTCATTCTGGTGAACATAACTGTTTCTCACCAGGATGAAACCCAGAAACCTGATGAAGCGTAGGTACGAAAGTATCTGTACCTCTCTTTCCTGTTCAGCTGGGCTGGTTGTTTGTCTGTTCCCCAACATGCCTGTCACACTCTGAGTCTTTGATCTTGCTGTTCTTCAGCCTGGAAGTACATTTCCTGCTTTTGTTTTCCCGTAAGACTCCTTTTCATCCTTCAATGACCAGATCAAAGGTCATCTCTGCTGAGAAAATTTATCTTACTGTCAATCAGTAGAAATCACTCACTCCTGTTTTAGAATATATTGACCTAAAAATTATTTTAGGATGTAGTGTCAAGTAGGAATGAATTTTCATTTTTTCCACATAAGGATAACTAATTATTTCACTGTTTTAAAATAGTACTTCCTTTACCCACTGACTTGCAATGCAGCTCTGTCATATGTCAGGTTACGAGGGGGAGTCTGTTTCTGAATTTCTCTCTGTTCCATTTGGTCAGTTCATCTGTCCTAGCACAAAAAAAATTTTATGGTTTTCTTTAGAAATTATTAAAGCCCAGTAATAAATCTTGTTTTCTGGTAGAGCAATTTCTTTTACGTATTTCTTCTTCTTTAGAAGTGTCTTGCCTATTTATGTCCTTTTCCTTTTCCATATAAATTTAGAATCAGCATGTCAAATTCCACAAAAAATCTCTTTGGAGATTTTGGTTGGAATTGTGTTGAATCTATTGATTAATTTGGAAAGAAGTTACATCTTTTTGATGTTGAGACTTTTTAACCTTTAGCTTGATGTATTTTCTATTTACTAAATTCTTTTATTTCTTTCAATTAATTTTTCTGATTTTCTTCAGAAAATATTGTAAATATTTTGACTTATTCCTAGATATCCTTATGTTTTATGTTGCTATTAAATCTCTCTTTAAATTTCATTTTTTTTTTTTTTTTTTAAAAGATGACCGGTAAGGGGATCTTAACCCTTGACTTGGTGTTGTCAGCACCACGCTCAGCCAGTGAGCGAACCGGCCATCCCTATATGGGATCCAAACCCGGGGCCTTGGTGTTATCAGCACCGCACTCTCCCGAGTGAGCCACCGGGCCGGCCTGGGTGCTAGTTTCCCATGATGAGTTCCACTTGTGAAAGAAAGTCCACCGACTGAGCCATACACTTAACTGTCTATGCTCTGTTCTGTTTGTATATTGCAGTTGAATAAAACCACTACTTAAAAAAGAAATTCAGTTGGAGGGGGAGATAGGATTGCCAGATTTAGCAAATCAAAATATAAAATGCGCAGCTAAATTTGAATTTCAGATAAATGAAAAAAAAATTTTTTTTTTTGGCGGTTGGCTGGCACAGGGATCCGAACCCTTGACCTTGGTGTTATCTTTGTTTGCCAGCATGTATACATAAAATTGACTTTTATGTACTATTTAATTGATGTCTTATAACATTATTCTCTTATTCTCTTATAAAATAATCCAGTGCAGAACACTGGAAAAACCAAAATACTGAAATAAAAAAATAAAAATCTCTCATAAACCTACCACCTAAAGATGAATTTATTAAATATTTCATGCACAGCCTTCGAGTGTCTTTTGTATGTGCTCGATTTATATATATATAAAGTATTTATAAGATACTTTTTATATTTTTTATATATATAAAATATTTTTAATAAGAAAGTGAATCTCAAATTCTAATACTATGTGTAGATTTTTATTTTTTGATTTTCTATACAGGTAATAATGAGCACTTTGGAAAAAGGCAGTTTTCTTTTTCCTTTTCCAATCTGTCTACTTGTTTTATTGTACGTGCTAAGACCTCTAGTACTATGTTTAATAGAAGTACTCATAGCTAGCATTCTTGTCATTTTTTCTTCTGATACTTAAGGAACTGTTTTTAATATTTCACCATTGAATACGAAATGTATTGTAGGTATATGTAGATAATTCTTCAGGTTAAGGAACTATTCTCTTTCATTCCTATTTTGCTAAGAATTTTTAACATGAATGACATTGGTGTTGAATTTTATCAAATGTATCATCTGTAGTCACTGAAATAATTATATATACATGTATGTGTGTATATATGTATAAATACTTTTTTCTCCTTGGGTTCTTTAATGTGGTAAATTACATTAATGGATTTCATAATGTTAAAGCAATCTTGACTTCTTGCATTAAACTTAATTAGGTCATGGTCTTTTTTTCCTACTGCTAGTATTATTTCTTTTAGGATTTTTGCATCTGTAGTCATGAGTGAGATGAGCCTGGAATTTTCCATTTATATACTGTCTTATCTGGCCTTGGTTATGGTAAACCAATAAAATGAATAATGGGAGTATTTGTCCTTTTCTGTTCTCTGAGTGTTGTATAAAATGGTAATTATCACTTTTTTCAATGTTCGGTCAAACTAGTTTATGAAGCCATTGTGGGCCATTGTGTTTTCTTTGTGGGAAAATTTTAAATACTGATTTAGTCTCTAATGGCTATTGACCATTCAGATTTTCTCTTTCTTCTAGTCAGTTTGGGTTATTGACTCTTTTCTAGGAATATTGAAGTCACCTAAGTTATTTACGTTTATCAGCATAAAATTGTTTATGTATTATCTTAACGTTGATCATCTCAGCTCCATCCATACTAGTTGTTTTTCATTCTGAATATAGTTATTTATTTGCCTTATCTTTTTATTGACTAATTTTGAAAGTAATTTTTCATTAATCTTCTTGAAGAATTAACTTTTTAACTGTGTTAGTCTTCTCTGTTGTATCTTTTTCTGTTTAATTAATTTTGTTCTCATCTTTATATTGCCTTACTTGTTTTGTTTTTTCGATTTCTTTTGGTGGGTGGCCAGTACCGGGATTCAAACCCTCAATGTTGGTGTTGTAACACTACACTCCAGCCAACTGAGCTAACTAGCTGGCCTTGCCTTACTTGTTTGTTTGGGTTTATTTTCCTTCCCCTGTCCCCCCAATAACCTTTAGTAGTTGAAGAGTTAATTAATTTTCAGTTTTCCTTCTTTTCTGAACTAATCATTTAAGACCATACATTTTCTCCTAAGATGTTTATTACTTCCCAAGATTTTAAGTTGAATTTCTGTTGTTCAGTACTAAGGTTTTTTTGGCTCCCAACTTGATTTCTCTTTTACCCAAGATTTATTTAGAAACGTATTTTCACATTTTCACATGAATATTTTAAAAAATCTTTTTGTTGTTATTTTCTAACTTATTTCAGTTAAAATCAGAGATTGCTATTTGTGTAATATTAATTCTTTCACATTGGCTGAAACTTTTTCATGGCCTCGTACATAGTTGGTTATTGTAAATGTTGTATTTGTGATTAAAAGAGAGTACAGGTTTTTATAAAAAGTTGTTAGGTCATACTAATTAGTTATTCAGATATTCTATATACTAATTTTTTTTTTTTTGGTTAACATAACCTAATGATTGTCCATTTGATGGTGAAATTAGTCTAGTTTTTCATGTAGTTTTTTCAGTTTTTATTTTGCGTGTTTTCAAGTTAACTTATTAGGTGCCTGAAAGTTTAGGATTTTTATATCTTTCTAGGGAATTGACCTTTTTATTAATATGTGACAGTATTTAGTAATGCCTTATTATAATCTATTTATTCCAATATCACTGAAACCATGCCAGCCTTCTTTTTATATTTGCCTGGTATTTTTTCTTTGAATTTTTTGATTCATGCACATAAAATGAATTCAGATTTCCAACCTGGATGAATATGGACTTGTTCAGAATTCTCAGGGGACATCTTGTTACTCTTTTTCTCTTACACCTCAAACTAAGACCAAGATCAGGAAATATCATCACTATGTTCCATGATCAAGATTTTGGTTTGCTTGCTTGTTTGGTTGATTTTTTTGTTTTTATCTTCATCCACTGCAGGTTTTACTCTTTTTAAAAAAAAAAAAAAAAGGAAGAAAGAGAGAAAAAAGAAAGCCATAACTGAATTGAATACATGGGAAAACTTTAATTACAAACATGCACATGGGGCCAATTAAGACACTGACTCTTTGAAGATTTGGGGGAAGAGTTCTTGAAAAGGAAAAGTAACATTATGTTGCTTACCAAATTACAGGATTGTCTGTTTAACCTGGATGGCTACTGTCTTTGATTTCAGATCTTAATTACAAAGATTAAGATTATTTTCAGATTAGCAGTATCACATATTCTGTGATCAGGATTCTGTGATTTCTTTTTCCCAGCTGTGAATAAGCACTTATAAAATGTAGATTCTAAGAGACTGTGGTTATTGCTTGCATAAGTGTTTATTAGGTACAGATTGTAGGTAATTCCTTGCAGAATTCTCTCTCAACATTTTAGAGGGTACAGGCTTTACTTTCAGGGATGAGGGTTTGGGAGGGTACTATTTTTAGTTCAACTTCCTATCTTGCTTGGCCTCAAGGGGGCACTTGGGACTCATTAAATCACTAGCTCTCATTAGATAAAAATGAGTAAATACTGTACAATTATTATTTACATGAAAATCTAGAAAATATAATCTGTAGGGACAGAAAGCAGAAAAGTGGTTCCCTGGTAATTGGGTGCCGTGGGGAGGGGTGGGAAGGAAGGATTAAAAAGAGGCATAAAGAAAATTTTAGGAATGATGGTTATGTTCATTACC